ATCAGCTTTATTTTCCTGCATAAAGTTGGCATATCTTCAAAGACAATTTAAATAGCTTTAACTTGTGAGCCTCTATTTAAAGAAATAACTCAAAGTAAACATTAGCTTAATAGCTTCACAAATACTAACACTGGAGAATGAGCCAGAGGACTAAATCAGAATTTAGTTTCAAACCAAAACAATTATCTAGTTTCATAAATCTTATCTGGACAATTTGCACTTTTTTTCCATCATCTAATTTAGCTTTCACGGTTCTCTCCTCATCTTATCTCTCAGCACACCGATTGTGGTGCTACCGCAGTCTCCACAGTGTTGAGGCATGCATTTAATGCAACATTAGTTGAAGGTGAGCCTCAAGCGCCAGGTGTTAGATATTGCTTGATTCCCACCCACTTCTAAGCTGCCCTGTCTGCGCCCTTTTAAAGACACAGGCAGTATTGCATGAATTCAGCTTAAGCAGTATTTAATCAGAGCATGATACTTTTAGAGCACAAGCTGGCACACATTTTTCTGACTTTACTCTCTGTATGTGGACATCTTCTGAAACTTAGACAGATCATTCTTTAGGATGAAAGGAGCCTATCCTAGCATTTTCCTTGTGTGGACCACCCAAAAGGTCCACACAAGAAGAAATGTCCACACAGAAAAGGTGTTCCGTCAGGGGTTGGTTCGCACAAGTATATAAAGACAAACCCACCCACCCACACACACACAAATACACTACTTCCATCTTGACAGAAGAAGGCAGGCAGGGGACGTCTTAGTTATGTAATCCAATGTCTGTTTCATAAACACGCTGCTTTTAGATGCAAGTGTGCCTTGGTCTGTAAATTCGATAAGCTGATGGTGCTCCAGCTCACCGTTCACCGTTACTGATTTTAACTGCCAATGACATGTGTGGCAACAGAAGTACCACACCACCATCTCTTGGTTGTCACGGGCAACAGCATCCGACTGCAGCAGCAGTGCAGAGCTGTGCAGTAGAATATATAAGAAAGCCTGAGTGGCACTAAACCTATCCTGTCTCCTCCCTATCATTTAAATAATTCTTTTAGATTCACTAAATGAATTTATATATGAGTCTGGTTAGTTTAATATTCTGCAGCTTCCTCTTAGCTATATGACATCTCTGAAAGCACTGTATCGTTAAGTATATGAAGACATTTCAGTCAAGCTCTGTTTATTTCAGTCAAGCTTTGTATTTAAATGATTTTTAGTGGCTAGTTGACCATTCTTTTGTTTTTCAGAATCTGTTATTACAGTTCAGATTAGCGCAGTCCAGCTTGTATTAGCAGTGCAAGTGCAAATTTAAGAGTATTTACAATACATCACATGAGACCATGTAGTCATCAGCAGACAGTTGCTGCCTTCCCTGGTATTGCTCAGTCAGGCCTGTACATGAGCCTCTTCTTGCTTGTTTTTGGGAGCTCCTTCACTTCTGTCTGTTCTTTAAAAATTGAAACACCTGCTAGGCTGAGGAAAAAGTATTCAGATCTTGTATCGAGTAAAAGTACCAGTGCAACAATCTAAAAATCTAGGACTTAATCTGTAATATTCAAAACCCTTCTTAAAAAGTCAAAAAAGTCAAGTTGTACAAAAGTACAGTGACATTATAAGCAAAGTGTGATGAAAGCACAAAATTAAAGTACTTGTTCTGCTGAAAAAAAATGCTCCCTTTAAATGATATATTACATATACAATGGCATTGTTAGATCAGCAATGGCATATCAATGTGTAGGTGACATTTTACTGTTGTTGCTAGTCCACTTGACAGTATATCTGAGGGGTTGTGAGAGGATTCATGACATAGAAATGAAGAAATAAAATTCTACTATTCGAATTTGAATTCAATTTCTGGACTTGCCTCTCTTGGTCTGGGGTATTTAGAGCTGTTTAAAGGCTCCTAGGCAGAGATGGGTTGAGAAACAACAGGAAAGTAATGAGTAATGTATTGTAGTTTTTCTACTGAGCAATTAGTAATGTGAGTACAGGTATCAGTAACTTTTCCTACACTGCTGAGAAGAGTAACAGAAGAGGTTAGAAAGGCTCTAAGACCTTGGTTGTGTATTCACTCTACTGCTCTGAGTCAATGTAAGGGTAAAGACAACAAAACAGAAAGACAAAAGCAACCATTTAAAAATAAGGATAAAGTAAAACAAAAAGAGAAGTAGAATCACGCTTGTATCTCTATAAAAATACTGGCGGTCATCTGCAATATCCCTGCTTTATGAGTTTCACAACATCTGACAAAAATACACAGTGTTAACACCTAAATAGCATAGTATTTTAAGCTTCTGCAAAGTAGATACACACTCAGATGTTCTCTGCCTCATGGGCTCATTGCAGAGCAACTCATTTCCTCATTGGTCAGTGTCTGTATGAGCACGCTAATGTGTTGAACTTACTGCTCTGACAAAAGGCCCTGACAACTCCAGCTGGTCTGAGACAAAAAGAAATCAATGGTTATTTTGCCCACTGGACCACACACAAAACTACTCATACAGATACACACATTTTTCATATTAACAATACAGAACCTTTACCCACCTGCTGTGCAACACAAAGATATTAACAGGCTCCACAGGTTGCAGTAATTAAACCGCTACTCAAAAAGCCTACTCTTGACCCAGGTGTCCTAGCTAATTATAGACCAATATCCAATCTCCCATTTATTTCCAAAACGCCTGAAAAAGCTGTTGCAAAGCAGTTATTTGACCATTTGCACAAGGATGATTTGTTTGAGGATTTTCAGTCAGGTTTTAGAGTCCATCATAGTACAGAAACCGCATAGGTGAAAGTCACTAATGATCTTCTCCTAACCTCAGACAAAGGACTTGTCTCCATACTTGTCCTCTTAGATCTCACTGCTGCTTTTGACACCATTGATCACAGCATCTTACTGCAGAGACTTGAACATGTTATTGGGATTAAAGGAACTGCACTAAGTTGGTTCAAATCTTATTTATCAGAAAGATTTCAATTTGTTCATGTTAATGATGAATCTTCCACACAAACTGACGTTAGTCACAGCGTTCCACAGGGCTCTGTGTTAGATCCAATTCTCTTCACTTTATACATGCTCCCTTTAGGCAATATTATCAGGAAGCACAACATAAATTTCCATTGCTATGCAGATGATACTCAGTTATATTTATTCATGAAAGCCAAATGAATCAGATCAGCTGGTCAAACTTCAAGCATGTCTTAAAGACAAAGGCCTGGATGACCTGCAACTACTTACTTCTAAACTCTGACAAAACTGAAGTCATTGTGCTTGGGCCTGAAAATGTTAGAAATCTGCTATCTAATCATATAGTTACTTTAGATGACATAGCTCTCGCCTCCAGTACTACTGTGACCTTGGAGTCATTTTTGATCAGGATATGTCCTTTAAATCACACATAAACCAAGTTTCTAGAACTGCCTTCTTTCACCTGCGCAATATTGCATAAATCAGGAGCATCCTGTCTCAAAGTGATGCTGAAAAACTGGTCCACGCATTTGTTACTTCCAGGTTGGACTACTGTAACTCTTTACTATCAGGATGTCCCAATAATTCCCTAAAAAGCCTCCAGTTAAGCCAAAATGCTGCAGCCAGAGTACTGACAGGAACTAGCAAGAGACATCATATCTCTCCCATATTAGCTTCTCCCCACTGGCTCCCTGTAAAATTCAGAATAGAATTCAAAATCCTTCTCCTAACATACAAAGCCCTTAATGACAAGGCTCCATCGTATCTTAAAGACCTCGTAGAGCCTTATCATCCTAACAGAGCACTTCGCTCTCAGAGTGCAAGTTTACTTGTGGTTCCTAGAGTCCACAGAAGCAGAATGGGAGGCAGAGCCTTTAGCTATCAAACTCCTCTCCTATGGAACCAACTCCCAGTCTCAGTTCAGGAGGCGGACACCCTCTCTACCTTTAAGATTAGACTTAAGACGTTCCTTTTTGATAAAGCTTATAGTTAGGGCTGGATCAGGTGACCCGGAGCCTTCCCTTAGTTATGCTGCTATAGGCCTAGGCTGCTGGGGGGCCCCATGATGCTCTGAGTTTCTTTCCCCTCCCCTCCTTTGTTGTGTCTTGTTGCTTTTCTTCTTTTGTCTCTCCTCTATCCACTCACCCCAACCGGTCGAGTCAGAAGGCCGCCCACCAAGAGGCTGGGTCTGTCGGATGTTTCTTCCGTTAAAGGGAGTTTTTCCTCCCCACTATCGCCAAGTGCTTGCTCAAGGGGGATTTGTTGGATTTTCCCTGTGTAATAATAGTGATAACAGTAAGGTCTAGACCTTACTTTGTAAAGTGTCCTGAGATGACTTTTGTTGTGATTTGGCGCTATACAAATAAAATTTGATTTTCTTTTTTCTTTTTTTTGATATTCATACAGATGGGGGACAAATTTAAAGGAAAAACTGGAGTAAGTCTGGACCAGTCTGTATGATCTACCTCCTGAATGCACTTTTACAGTATAGCAGGTAGAAAGAATGTTTATATTTATTCTATACAGTGTGATTTGGATGGAAAACTCCTACCATCAGTAGATTATAATTATTATTGAAGTCATATGGGGGCTCAGGATACACACAAAAATCTTTGGAAAAATATTATTTATTATTCAGTTGATCAGTTAGCCTGAAAGGTTTTGTTTTTCTGCCTCACTTATGCTGCCTTTTCACTATCAGAACCTAATGAACAGTATACTCCATACATCCCTCAACCATCAGCAAGCATATAGCCTCTAAGGTTGATGCAGACCATCCTGCTTTGTTTTTACACTGTATATTCTCTCTGTTGTTCTCTGTTTAGAGGAGGGAGAAGCTGCTTCCATATCACACAGGCAGTCAACTGTGTGTTTACACATGGTGCTTGGAATGTTAATACTTGAGGTGTGACGATGTGGACATTTAACCAGTCACCAGCGACAGCTCTGCACACACACACCTTCTCTCCTCTTGTGTTCCTAGTACTTGAATTAAGTATTATCTCCTGAGGGGTGCTGAAATTTAGTGTTAGGTTTGCTCCCATTCACTGTGATAATGGTCCTGGCCGCCACAGTAAAGGCATGCTCCTGTCCTGACACGCCACGCCTGCTCCTTGGGTGTGAGTCGGGTTCGTCCCACTTGCATTGGCTCCTCCTCCGATGTGGACGTTTCTCCGATCCCGGACTGGGGTTCTGGGCCAGGCCCTGGTACCCTGGCGGCTCTGAGACTATGCTCTCCAGACCTGGGCCGGCCAGTCTGGCTGTTCCTCTCGTTGCGGCGTTCACGTAGACGGTTGTCCATCTTGATAGCCATTGCCACCAGTTTAGCAAACGTGGCCGGCTCGTCTCTTGTGGCGAGTATGTCCTTAAGATGCTCCTGCCGGCCCTGCCAGAACGCTCCCCTGAGCGCCTGATCGTTCCAACCTGCCTCCGCCGCCAGCATCTGGAATTCAACGGCATACTCCTTGACACTGCGCGACCCCTGTTTTAGAGCCATTAACCGTCTAATGGCGCTACCCTGATAGTCGGAATGGTCAAAAACGGTCTGTAACTCGTGAAAAAATTCGGCACTAGTGGCTCCTATAAAGCGGCCCTGGGCGTTCATGGACTCAGCCGAGGACAGGGCACGGCCACGAAGCCGATTTATAGCGTAGTTAATACGGGTCCGGTTGGAGCGATAAGCTCGTGGTTGTTGACTGTATACCAGATGACACTGTAATACGAATCCCCGACACTTGTCTAACTCCCCGGAGAACGGCTCGGGGTCCGGGATGTGAGGCTCGTTGCCCGGGCTGTGCTGGGAGGAAGAAGCGCTGGAGGGTGCGGTGGTGACAGTAGCGCTGAGGTGAGCTAGTGACGTGGCGAGCTGGGCTACCTGCCGAGTGAGCCCCTCCTGATTATCAGCTTGATGCTGCAGGACACGACCTAGATGTTCTAATTGGGTTTCATGCCGAGTGATGGTGCCGAATCCATAATTGGCTGGTTCGTTTCTGTTAGGTTCGCTCCCCCGACACCATGGGAGAGAGGGCGAACTGAGTGAGGAATAAGTGGATTCAGGTAGGCAGAGTGCGATTCAGAACAAATATTTATTACCCCGGAAAGGCACAGAAACTAAAAAGTATATTAAAAAAACAGAGGCCGAGGCGGATCAGCGGAGAACGGATCCGACCCTGAGAAGACTTAGGGGAACTGTTCGTCACCAGGCTCGGAGGGCTGACTGGCAGCGAAGGCAGAAGGAAGAGCACAGGACCCGGGAAGAGAAAAAGAGCAGAGTCAGTAGCCGACTGGGAGACGTGGTTCACTGTCTCCAGTGCTAGAGACCATGGTGCCGGAGGGTGGTGGTTTCTGTCGGCGATCGGAGGCTCCGGTGCTTTGCTGGGATTCCACGCTGAGTGGTCCACAGAGTCGAATACGAGGAAATGAGCATGAAACGGGTAACGATGAATCTTACTAGTCCCAGACGTAGTGTATGATTAGTCGCTGAGGGATCTCCTCCAAACTGCTGTGTTGTGTACACAGAATGAACCAGCACTGGGGTGGCGTTAGTCTGACAGTTTTATGGCATCAGAGTAATCAGCTAGGGTTGGGAACAGCTGTGTCCTGCACCTGGGATGTCAGTCTGTAACAAGAACAGTAGGCAGAGAGGGAGCAGGGAGCAGAGAGAGAGAGACGACACGGAGCATACCTGACATTTAGCTCCTGGACTTTACCTCCAAAGCAGGCCAAGCGTAGTGAAAACAAACGCAGAATCCGTGCCGAGCATTACTCTGAACAAAACATTTTAGTACTGTAAAATCCGGACTATTGAGCGCACCTGACTATAAGCCACGCCCACTAAATTTAAGAAGAAAAAAATGTTGTACATATATAGGCCGCACTTGTCTATAAGCCACAGGTGTCCATGTTGTAACATGTGATATTTACACAGAAAGATGTTACACATTTTTTTACTTTTAATTATATAAATGCTTTTTCCGAACAGTGCCTGTAACAGGGCTGGTTAACAAAATCGTCTCATCGATTCATTGATGCGAAGTTTACGTGCAGCAGCTCTATTTCCTTCTTGGACGGCCAGATCGATCGCCTTTAACTTGAAAGCTGCATCGTTTCTTTGTGCGTTTTCCATGATCAGGGTGTGTGCATGAAGCACAAAATGACTGATCTGAAGAATTTAGTGTGAGTGCATTTGATTTAATTCAAACAATTTTATTGGTCCACTGTGACCTGTTCGGTAATTTCATTGGTCTGATGTGACGAGACTAAATGTATTGGTGGCATGAAGCTCGTTAGCCCGTAAAAATACATAAATTAGCCGCATCATTGTTTAAGCCGCAGGGTTCAAAGCTTGTGAAAAAAGTAGCAGCTTATAGTCCGGATTTTATGGTAGGTTCTTATAATGGAAAAATCACCCTCCCATTCTCCTTTTTTACTTTTATTTCCAGTAATAGAATTGTTACCCATATATTCTAAATTAAGTCTAAATCACAGTGTTTTTGTAAACATGCATAAGTTCATACCTTGAATTTAACAAATCACTTGAATTTACCATTTTTTTTCTTTTCCAGTCATCCAGTCTTCTGTTGTTGTTTGTTCTTATACCTATCCAGCACACCAGACAATGACTGTTATCTGTTGAATAGACCTACAGTATCCCAGCCTAGCTGGTTTTGCGCTTGTGGGCTTATTTTTTCTTCATAATATTCTCTCCATTTTATTTTTTCTTTCTTCCAAAGCTTTCTTATCAAGCTCATAAAGGTGACCATGCACAACAAACATTACCTGCACATACAGTGGTGTGAAAAAGTGTTTGCCCCCTTACTGATTTCTTATCTTTTTGCATGTTTGTCACACTGTAATGTTTCAAATCGTCAAACAAATTTATATATTAGTCAAAGATAACACAAGTAAACACATCATGCAGTTTTTAAATGAAGGTTTTTATTATTAAGGGAAAACAAAATCCAAAACTATATAGCCCTGTGTGAACAAGTGTTTGCCCCCTAAACCTAATAACTGGTTGGGCCACCCTTAGCAGCAACAACTGCAATCAAGCATTTTCGATAACTTGCCATGAGTCTTTTACAGCGCTGTGGAGGAATTTTGGCCCACTCATCTTGGCAGAATGGTTGTAAGTCAGCCACATTGGAGCGTTTTCGGGCATGAACTGCCTTTTTAAGGTCATGCCACAGCATCTCAATTGGATTCAGGTCATGACGTTGACTAGGCCACTCCAGTCTTCATTTTGTTTTTCTTCAGCCATTCAGAAGTGGACTTGCTGGTGTGCTTTGAATCATTGTCCTGCTGCAGAACCCAAGTTCGCTTCAGCTTGAGGTCACAAACGGATGGCCGGACATTCTCCTTCAGGATATTTTGGTACACAGCAGAATTCAGGGTTCCATTTATCACAGCAAGTCTTCCAGGGCCTGAAGCAGCAAAACAGCCCCAGACCATCACACTACCACCACCATATTTTACTGTTGGTATGATGTTCTTTTTCTGAAATGCGGTGTTACTTTTACACCACACATAATGGGACACACACCTTCCAAAAAGTTCAACTTTTGTCTCGTCTGTCCACAGAGTATTATCCCAAAAGTCTTGGGGATCATCAAGATGTTTTCTGGCAAAACTGAGACGAGCCTTTATGTTCTTTTTGCTCAGCAGTGGTTTTCGTCTTGGAACTCTGCCATGCAAACCATTTTTGCCCAGTCTCTTTCTTATGGTGGAGTCATGAACACTCACCTTAACTGAGGCAAGTGAGGCCTGCAGTTCTTTGGATGTTGTTGTGGGGTCTTTTGTGACCTCTTGGATGAGTTGTCGCTGCGCTCTTGGGGTAATTTTGGTCGGCCGGCCACTCCTGGGAAGGTTCTCCACTGTTCCATGTTTTCGCCATTTGTGGATAATGGCTCTCACTGTGGTTCGCTGCAGTCCCAAAGCTTTAGAAATGGCTTTATAACCTTTTCCAAACTGATAGAGCTCAATTATTCTCTTTCTCATTTGGTTTTGAATTTCTTTGGATCTCGGCATGATGTCTAGCTTTTGAGGATCTTTTGGTCTACTTCACTTTGTCAGGCAGGTCCTATTTAAGTGATTTCTTGATTGCGAACAGGTGTGGCAGTAATCAGGCCTGGGTGTGGCTAGAGAAATTGAACTCAGGTGCGATAAACCAGTGTTTTGACAGGGGGGCAAACACTTGTTCACACAGGGCTATATAGTTTTGGATTTTGTTTTCCCTTAATAATAAAAACCTTCATTTAAAAACTGCATGATGTGTTTACTTGTGTTATCGTTGACTAATATTTAAATTTGTTTGATGATCTGAAACATTACAGTGTGACAAACATGCAAAAAGATAAGAAATCAGTAAGGGGGCAAACACTTTGTCACACCACTGTATTTGGAGCATGTCTGTGGCTCATAAACCACCTGAGGTTTGACCAAGTCAGTTCTGTGACAGCCCGAGGGGCATGGGGTGGGGATCCATAGATTGTGGAGCTTGAACCATAACACAGACCGAGTTGGTCGGTAGCTCGACCTCTGTTACAGAGATTTCAACCTTTTTAAATGTTTTTCCTCAGAGAAGTGTGTTCCTTTAATAGAAAAGGGTCCTTTTAAGGCCACAGTAAACTTGACACAAATTAGCTCGTAGAACAGAAACATCTTTGCTCAAAATAATAGGTTCTCTATTTGTACAAGGGAAGCTGGTTAGAAAATATACAAACATATCATTTAACATATCATCTGGTGTAACAGATCATAGCTGATCTCTGATCTGTACAGATCCCCCTCATGGTCCACCACACATGTAAACCACGCATTAATTGCCAATAAGACACTACCTCGTTGTGCCTGGCACTTCCGTTTCTAACAAGAGCAAGATGTTGTTGTGCACAGCAGGGAACTTTGGCTTTTCCCTCATCGGGAACCTAAAGAGAATTTGACAGTCTGATACCGTGGTTGTACTTTGTTTTTCCATGTCTATAGCTCTCTCTCTCTCTCACTCAAACACACAATCAGGTGAATGGAGAGCCTCAAGTCAGCATTCACGGTGCTCTGTAATCATGGTGGAACCTAATCAATCAGTCAGGGAGAGTGCAGGAGCAGCTTTGGAAACAGCCGTTGAACAGGCAGAACACAAACTGTAGAAATGTGACATCTCTGCTGCTTGGCTCATAGTGAACCAGCCTTAGTCCTCATTTCACCTCTAAACCAGCAGGAGTGGAATCCCTGACTGCAAAGAGGTCAATCCTCTGCCCAGACAATGTAGACATCCTCACATTTATATGTTTTATTTTAGGATTTTACTGAAACACCAGACATCTTCAATATTGTTTTCACCTAAGGCCAAGGACAATGTCTTCAAGTTCTTTAAAGAGCCCAGGGGGCCTTTCCTTGCTTTCTGATTTATCTGCAATGTGAAAATGGTGAATTATCATCTTAGACATGACCCAAAGCTCAAAAAGTTAGGTGTACGCATGTTCTAGAATGTCTATGCAGAACCAATGTGGTTTATACCAGTCTCCCAAGCTCTCGCTCGTGAGACTTTTTTTCTAACAAAATTAAGAATTACATGACAATTTAAG